CCCCCACCCCCCCCCAACCCGTCCTCCCTTCCCTGCGTGCGGGGGATCTGCCCCCTTGCGCAGTTTGTTCGGCTGACTGGTAACGACTCGGTGTGGAAGGAGGACGGGAGGTGTGCTCTCAGTAAGCAGCCTCTGCCCTGCAAGGGTGAAATTTTCCTTTCGGGTAAAAGTGTTCCTGTGGTAAATGCAGCACGTCACTTTGTGCCCTTGTTTCCTGCTATTTCACATATCTGCGGATAACTTATCCTTGTCTTTAAGGAGCCCTCAGTTACTCAGAAGAACTCCTGGACCTTTAATAAACAGTGATAGATCTTTGTCCGTTTTTCATGTACTAACGTACTGTATATTTCATGAGCCGCTTACGTTTTTATTTTTGCTAATGATACCATGCCTATACCATAGGAACTGTTTCAGCGTGTTTTGGATGGTCAAGGAAAGAAAGACAACTTAATTTTGTCAGTGTTTAGATGAAGTGTCCAGTCATATTTTCAGATCCTGTGGAACATGGCTTATAAAAGAATAATGAAATCCATAACAGCTGTTTGAGTTATTTGAGTGAAATGCCAGCAGCTGAAAAGAGACAAAATCCTAATTAATTTATTCTAATGTTCAGTCTCTGTAAGAAGCTAAAAGCGTATTTAAATGCAACAAAATAATCCTGGCACGCATAATAGAAGCCAACTATGTTTGGGACTAGACGTAGAGATGTGTATCTGAAAGTCCTTTCTCTTCCGTATGGTTTATATTTGTGAAAACTGCTCTAAATATGCAGACCCTCTTTAAATATGCAGCAAGTCTGAAATAGATTTGAGTTTGTCTGATGGAAGCTGAATAAGCGTAATTCATGAAGGAGAGCCAAAACCTACCATCAGTGTGAAACGAATCTTTGTATACAAGTATTCCCTGGATGTGTCTGCATTACAATAGGAGCAGGTCTCTATAGCAAAAAAGTCAGTGGTGAGGACCAGCCATCCATGGTGTACATGTTTCAGAGACTTCTTACTTTGGGCTCACTTTAATCTGGGTCACTGTCCATTTACAGCCATCATGCGTTGAGGTGTACCTCTGAAGCTTGTTCTCCAGTTGGGTTTCATGCACAGAGAATCCACACAGTGTTCTCTGATGCCGTTCAATGATGAAACAGAGCACAGTAAGTGGTGATAATTAGTAGAGTCCCCTCAAGCACACCCCTAATCTGAAACACTAGTGTAGGTGTTTCTCTGTATCTCAGCAGTTGCTTGGTTTGTCATGCTGATTGGGAGGAAGAGCTGAGAGTGCTTTAGGAGGAGTTGAGATAGGACCTTGTGTTCAGAGAGGACATGAAAGAATCAGTTTGGGGTTTTGGGGCATCGTTCCTGTGCTCTAGAAAGAGAGACAATGTACTCAGGTTCTGACTACAGACCTGGTTTTCTTATCCTTAAATTCTAATCTTTAAGAACAACTGTCTTAAACCATATGGCTGCAATCAAGTTCTCTCCTACCTCTATTTATTTGCCCTTCCCTGACATTAGTTCATAAATTTATTTGAATCACCAGCTCAGTTTATAATCTCTTCACACCCTCTGGGACTTCCCCATGTCTGTCACTTCAGGATGTCTCGACTTCCCCCAGTGGGATTTCTGTCTATTTTTAGGGCAGCTGTTATCAAGACTGTGTTTAGAAGCACAGCACAGTGCACTGGACAGACTGTAAATAGTGCTTGCCCTTTTTAGCAGATCATTTCTTTCATCTTTGAGGAAGAAGTAAATTGAGCGGCATTTTCAATTCTGCCTAATAGTCTGTCTTAAGGGTTTCCCTTGGAGTCAGTCTGTGGTTCTTGCTTCTTGTCAGCAACATTTCCGAGAGGCTGGTTTAAACAGCATATGATATCTGGGGCTTTTTATTGTGTGGGGGAGTGTTTTGTGACTTGGTTTCACGAGCTGGAAAAAGGAGTCCATGCAAGCAGCTCTCTGCTTCACGTAGGCAGGTCCCTGTAGCTGAAGCACCAGCTGGTCCGTGGCCCTCTCCTCCTACACACTAAAGCACACCCATTTGTGTAGTGTAAATCACTTGCAAAGGGAGATGACTCACTAAGCTCTGCATCTTGGATGCAAAAGAGTTAACTCGTTTGTATAGTTCTCTGAAACTGCGGATGTCTAACCTGTGAGGTGCCTAGCAAGCTTGCTTTCTCAGCTGTGTTTCAGCTTGTTTCATCTGTAGCATGACTAATTTCCATCCCTGCAGTTCTTTAAATGAAATAAGAGATGATTAAGTACAGAGTTTGTAGTTGATTCTTACCACGGACTTATTTTTACGAAGAAACTTTACAGTTGTTTAAAGCTTCATTGATTGATTAGTGGGGGGTTTTTTTGGCTTGGTAAAGTGAGACTTTCTCTTTCTTCATCTCCAGTTTAATCTCCTTTTTATAGCTTTGGAAAAGTACTATGTTAACAAATCAACAAACCAAAATTTATTTTTAAAATTTAAACTGGGAATAACAACTGCCTGTTTGTTGATTTGAATTCCAAAATAATGAGCCACTGCTATGTAGAAGTATTCCCTTCTGCCTTGTAACTAAGTTCACTTCTGTAACGTTGCTGGCAGAATCAGTGGTTGTGATCTGTCTTTTTATCTGTCTTTTACTGAGATAGTTTCCATTGCAGCACAGAGTCCTTGAGCTTCTCCTATCCTAACAATTCCTGTTACTGAAATTGTTACTCAGGATGCTTGCATGAGAAAAATAATAGGACACTTCCTTCAGACGCATGTAGTGAAACAAAAATGCTTGCCTAGGAGTGCAGTAACTTATGACTGACATCTGAAGTTGAATCAGCCAGCTAAACGTAGTTAGTGTATCTAGACAACTATATCGTACTAGCAGGATAAGAGGTTTAGCTGGCATATGTCATCCTAAATAATTATTTAGCTTTAGCATTCTGTAACTTTTAAGAAAGACAAAACCCAATGTGTTCTCTTTTCTGCTTTAAACCACCATTGGTAGTATTTTTAGTAAAGGTTCAGTTCAGTGAAGCAAATGAAACTTGTACAGTGAGAAATCCTGAACATATTGTGTAAGTTTTTGATTCCCTATGCAACCTTTATTAAAGCTTAAGCTGCTGTATGTTGAGGATAGTTTACAGCAAATCTATATTTAGGAAGCATATAAAATGCCACAGTAACAGGCATCTTAAAAATCATTCCAGATGGGGTATTGTGCCCACAACAGATCTCTCGGCAGCAGTAGTTAAAATGTAGGTTTTTTTCTGTGTTGGCTTTCCTGGAACTGCAGTGGCAGGTCCTTTTTTTTGAAAATAACCTAGTTCTCTAAAGATTAGTGCAAGGAACACCCTACTTCAGAGCAAACGGACTTAGCAAAAGTACCTTCTGATTTGTGGTTGGTATGTTATGTGTTGAAAAGGTGTGGTTTGGCAAACAGATCATGTTTTAAGTACCTACTTAATAAATAATTGTATGCAAATATACCTCGGGTGGGAAAAGGAAGTTTGTCATTAGTGTCATGGGACATTTACGACTTTGTATTGAAGATAAAATGAGGAAACACCTGGGCTCCTTAAGCAGGGAGTGGTAAGGTGTGCTTGGTGGTCTTTAGGCAGATACAAATCTCTTCAGCTGGACTTTGGCCAGTCAAATAAATCAGTCTAAGCCCAGGCTACAAACCAAAGGAGGTGTAAACACCTCTTCCCTTCCCACTGTTCTCCTTCTCATATCTCTCTGGGCATCACATGCTTCTCTTCTCTTTTGTGCTGGTACTTGTACTTATCTCTCAGTAAACCTACTCAGGGATATAGACAGGAAACTTTTCTTTGTTTTGTAGGGTTAGTTTTCTGTTGGTTTAGTTCCCTGAACCTTGGTTCTGCAGAAGCTGCCCGGTTCCAGTCCTGGGATAGAGGGAGCAACCTATCCTTTGCAGTTGCAGCTGTTAGGTCAGCTTAGCTGAATTGTTGAACCACACTTAAGCCTCCTGACCAATTTGATAGATCCAGAAACAAAAGTAGTGCACTTTTGTAAAGCTGTACCCAAGCAGTATAGCTTCCTCAAAGAGGAAGAAAGCTTGGTGGTGCAGGCCTGGTAATGTGAACTCAGTTACATTGATTGAGGCGCAGCTTAGTATCTCCATGCAGTGTTGAATTGTTCTGTATAAATATAAAGGTTTGAATTAGTGCCAGTGCAGTAATTTCTGTACCATGCTGCCTTGTACTCGGTAGAGGTATGCACGTAGTATATCCAAAACCCTCTCTTAAAGAGGATAGTGAAAGCCCTGCTCTGAGGAAGAGGCTAGATGTTCCTAAGAAAGGAGACACCCTTCCTTGCTAAGTATGGAGCTGTCTCGGAAGTAAACTGAACTTCTGCAAACTCTGTGTTTGATGTAAGGTATGGGAGAGAGGGAGGGCTGAGGCTTTGGTCTCGTTCTGATGTGAAGGGTTTTGTCTAGATCAGTTCTGTAAAAGCAGGTGGTGTCTCTCTGTCTTGGTATCCTGCCTGTAGAAGGGGGAGTGAAAACTCTTGGTGTACCTCTTGGAGTGACAGCGCTATTACTAGTACCCAAGTGCTCTGAGGAAATAAAGTGCAGGAAAAAAGTGATAAGTATTTTCTTTACTTCTTAGAATGGCTAGCCTGCTGCTGTTCAATCATCTTTTGACCAAAACTATTTTCAGTCTGGTTTCTGTTAGCTAATTTGGGGGGAATCTGTGAGGTTGTTATGATATGGGATAAGCTTCCAGGCAGTGTTCATACGCCACAGTCTAATTATCTGATTCCCTGATTGTTTTGTAATTTCACACGCAAGTTCTAGAATCAGTCTGCTGGATGAGCTCCTCCTGCTCTATCAACATGAACCACTGACAGGTATGCTTTTCAGCAGAAAAGTATACTTGGGATGAAAAAGCCATCGGAAGCAAAGCTAGGCTTCAGCATTTGAGGTCTTAGCTTATTTTGTTTCTGCCTTTAGGACTGCTTTTCATTGCCAGTATAGCTAAAAATAGTTGACGTGCTTAAAACTGTTGAAGTATATTAGTGACAATTTTCAGTTAACACATTCCATACCTTTTTCAAATTCTGCTAATGGAGTTGCGAAGATTCTGGCAGAAAGGCTCCAGAATACATGCAGTAACGTTTAGCATACACAAAACTTGGTATATACCAGATAATTCCTGGACTTTTTTTTTTTTTTTAAACTATTCTTTGTGCAGTGGGCATGGCAGCTGGGTACAGTCTAGCAATTGTTACTTTGTAAAAGAAACTGCTTGGCAAAAGCCTCAAACTCTCCTCCTTTTCACTCAGGGGAAAAAGAACTGCATACCCTAAATAGTATGTCTGTGTGCACCAAGGAGAATAAACATAACAGAGCATCCCAGAATTGGATTTTATGTTAGTTAGCAGTTTGGGACACGGGTATGTCCTTCCTAGGTTGTTAAATTGCTTCACAGCCACTTCAGTGGTATGAGTTACCTTTTGCAGTTAACCATACCTTCTTAGAGAAGTAGGCTAGGCTCTGCCTGCGTATCTTACTGAAGTGCTGTGGGTTTGCAGATCTTGCTGAATTTTGCTCGGAACTCTTATTTCTCACAAATCATTTTTAAAACAGCTCTATGCTACCTGCCTCCTTTTCAAGACTACTTTGCAAAAACGTTTCTGTAATTTATTGTCCTGTATTGACCACCTATATTGAGAAGTTATGTAAAATGCCACTGATAACTTACTTTCCTGTCAAAATCTGACTCTTTTCAAGGTATGTCAGAGAAGGGATATGTAGCTTCTGCCGTGACATGTGAGTCTTAAAAGACTCTTTCAGAACATCTGTCTTCTGTGTTTCTGTGCTAGTTACCTGTCTTTACTGAAAAGAGCTAAAATTTTACTGGCACTCCTACATAGCTATTTAAAGAGAATTCTTCTTTTTGACCCATTGTTACTTTTTTCCCTTCTTTTTGTCACTAGGTTACATTTCAGAGGTTCCTCATTTGTGTTCAGCACTGCAGCTCAGCAGAGAAGTACAGGAGACGAGTGTGGCCCAGAAGATCCCCATGATGAGCCAAAGCATCCCCTTTCTGAACGTGCTTTAGAGCACAAAGCCATCAAATTGGAAGAACAAGTCCGGGATTTAACTGTGAGTATGCTGCTGGAGTCCATCTGCTGATGGCATCGTTATGCCTTTTGTTCAGTCCTCTTGATACAGGAGACTGTCTTTCATCCCAAGCCTTTTCTGTAAGCATTATAACATGCACCCAGCACCAATGCACTGTAGTGCTGTAAAAGTGATTGCATTCTAAATTTGGGAGGGTGCCCTGTGAAAGAAGTACATTCTGCTTTCCCCAGAAATACTGTCTGTTGCTAGTTCCTAGGAGCAAGACCCTGACAGTCTGAGCCTGGATGGCAAAACTGTGCTCGCGATCATCTGGTCACATCTTTCATATCATTGTACAGGGAGAATGGCAGTAGTTTTGTCCTAATTAGTATCGCATACCGTGAAATACTGGATCCAAACGGTCTGAGGAATCATCTTTAGCTACAGTGGTGTGGTGGAAATGGTGGAAATTGTTTTATAGGGCCTTTCGAGAATAGATGTAACTAAAGGAGAGGATTAAATATCGTAGCGCTGGGCAATTCTGGAAGTAATTGCCCTGGGAGTAATGAGATCTACTGCACGAAGAGAGAAATCAGCTGATTGCAGATCTGTTGCTAAGACTGCCAGTTCTCCTGCTAGAGAAAGGAGCATCTCAATAGCTGCAGAGTGAGTCATGCAAAAAGCAGCAGACTGACAATGCGATGTTCAGCTGAGCTATGTCCTGACTGCTTCTGGCCTTGACTTGGGTCCTTTGAGGGAGTTGCAGATGTGTTGATTAATCAGTAAGGAGAGGAAGTTGGGTTTGCATGTTCTGAGGAGAACCCAAGAGCCCAGCACAATCATCTTACATGAAGTGGGTTCTTTTTAAATAGTTTCTAAGGAATTGCAAACTTGACAGGAAATCAGTTTTGCTTCCTTGTCTGATACCTTCTCTTACTGTTACGGTTACAGGAGCGATACCGGAAAGCTTTGGCAGATTCTGAGAATGTCCGGAGGAGAACACAGAAATTTGTGGAAGATGCCAAACTCTTTGGTAAGCAAAGTGGGGCAGAGCTGTGTTTCCTGCAGTGGCCTGCCTGCCTGAGCATAACATGCTGATCAACAGCTTTTCTCTCTGCGCTCCTCTGCCCTCGTTCATTGTAAAGTCCGGCGTGATGTTTAGCCTGGGCTGATGGGTGTCTGGGCTTACTAGCTATTTTTTCTGTATGTCCAGCCGTGGCATTTCAGGTTTATCTCAGTGACTGTTTTGTTATCCCCTTTTACTAAAATAGGTCTGGTGCAGTTGAGTGTAGTTCTCCTGACTTGATTGAAATTACGGTTTCTTCTGTATACTGAGAATTGGCACTCGGAGAGTATATTCTGTACTCTCAGCTGTGTTATCAAGTTGTGATCTCCTTTACTGTGTTAAGAGCCTCTCCTCTTCTGCTCTAGTTTTTGTGAGGTAGATCCTGCCTGGGACAAAGGGTGATCAGTTTCTGTATCAAGTGTTCTTTAAAATTTCCTTCATAAATGTTTTGGTGTTGATACGGACACCGTATCAACACCAAATGTTTGGTGAGCTGGATTTGTAGCTTTAGCAACTGATGTACTAAGCAGGTGAAGAGGGGGAAAACTGCCGTTTAATCATAGCACTCTGCCAGCACCATCTCTGAGAATTAGAAACTTTTGTTCTCCATGAGGCATTGATCTCAGAGTTTTTGTTAGCTAATTCCAGTTGCTTCAAATTAGAGCTGCTGTATTTTTCTTTCTGTTCTACCCACTGTGCTATAAAATAGCTGTTGAGGTCATCTTGACCTGCGTTGTAGGTTTTGTTTTTTTGAACTGTTTGACTTTTATATGCATTAGATTGGTGCTTTAGATTTGAAGGAAAATGAGGTTCCTGATTGGAAGTCGCTCATGGGCGAAGCATGGGGCTCTGTAGAGCATTAAAACACTGATGCTTCTGCTTCTGACTGCTACTGTGTGACTTCCTTCTCCTTCACACTTTTTTCTTCTATGCCTGTTTAAACATGTATATACAGGTATAAACAGCACCAAATTACTGTTTCTCTTTCTTGGTTTTCCTTATGTATTTTTCCATAAGTAAGTTATGCTATCGATGTAATTGAGAGAGGCTAGCTTTCTTGAAATTACTGCACTGTGTAACATGCTGCTCCTGGAAGTATATACAACCTGAATCCAAAATATTAAAAGACTCTTTTTTTTTTTTCCTAACAAAAAAGACTGCATAACTTGAGAACAGCCAACCCAAGGACCATTTTGTCCAGTGCTTCCACAGTAGTTTTAACTTACGAATAAATTTGTGAATATACTTTTTGAATGGTCATGTTTTCCCTCATTGTGTTTGTTTTCTGTGTGCATGGACGTTGATGTGAGTTGTTTGGCACAATATTTATTTCTTTGGACCTGTATGAGAGGCTGTTCTGAATCACAAGTCTTAGTCACAAGAAGTGAAATACCAATAATCTTACTCTGCTTTATCAGGTAGAGTATATGATCGTTATTCTTTATAGATATACCTTTCTTGCATGTGCTTTGATTCGGGGAGTCTCTAGGAAGCTACACGTATAATACTAAAGCTTTGGCTACAGGAGAGGCAAGCACTATCCACTGTTGTTGAAGTAACAGTTGAAACTAGTTAAAAGCTTTTCAAGACGCTTTTAAACTTCTGTGGCTTTGTGCCTGCCGTTAGTACTGCAGCTCTGTATGTTCTGTAGTTAAACTGACCTTCATTTACTTCTTGCTTTTTTGTGCCTGTAGGGATCCAGAGTTTCTGCAGGGACCTTGTGGAGGTAGCAGATATCTTGGAGAAGACTGCTGAGAGTGCGGCAGGAGAAGCGGAGCCTAGTAATCCAAATCCGACCTTAAAGAAAATCTACGAAGGCCTCTCTCTCATAGAGGCCAAATTGCAAAGTGTATTTGCCAAACACGGCCTTCAGAAGATGAACCCTGTCGGTGGCAAATATGATCCATACGACCATGAAATAGTCTGCCATGTACCAGCTGAGGGAATGCAGCCAGGCACAATAGCACTGGTGACTCAGGATGGCTATAAACTCCACGGGCGCACTATCAGACATGCACTGGTCGGTGTGGCAGTAGAGTCACAGGAATGATATGGGCTTACCCATAGGCATCTGGGACCTTAATGAGCTGAGGACCCTTTGTCACTCAGCGACAACTGCAGCTGCATGTTTTTATTTATTAACCTAGGTCTGTATTGTATGTTGGCTTCTTTACAATGTGTGCAGTCATTTTGCCATTAATTCTAAGGTACTTGTATATTTAATGTTCCTTTTTGGAGTATGTGGAGTAGTAGGAGTCCTGCTTTTTTGTCATAAACGTGGCACTGTAGTCCCTTTCTCTGTTGCTGATTTCAAGTCTCCATTAAAACTTTTATGGGGAAGAGGGGGGATATGAGAGAGAGAGAAATCATGGGAGAGCTAGGGAATCTTGTCTCCTAACTCTTTCTCTTAGGCAGACTCCTCCTGTGGCCTTTAGGCAAGTAACTTTTCTGCCTCAGTTTCCCTATCTATATTAAGGGGCTATACTAATACTTATTGACCTACCTCACAGGGATGTGGTGGGGCTTTTTCTTTGCAAGGCACTTAGGTGAGGAAAAGCTCAAAGTGCTAAGTATTGTTATCAGGCTGGTTTTGGTGTCTTCCCCTGTCCCCAGATCCCTCAGGTGGGGACAAAGATGATCGCTTGAAATGGTATTTAGAGCCAAATTTTATTTCTCACTTTTCAGGAAAACAGTCCTGAATTAATGACATCTCTGTTGTACTATAGTTGAATAGGGATGAGGTTTTAAAGAGAATTCAGTTGTCATGGTCATGTCAAACTTTAATGTGTTCGTATTTGTTCTGCAGGTAAAATTGCGGCTTGCCTCCCTCTCTTGAAGGGTAAAATAGGGAGCGGTCCTTGGTAGAGCCTGGAAAACTGTTCTCAAATCTCTTTCTCCAAAGTAAAATTATATTTTGGACGAGAGTAATAGCTCTTTCTTGATGAATGTCCATGCAGCCTCCAAGCATGATAAACTGTATGCTCTTTGCTGCTGGCAGAATGGAGAATGCCCTTAAGTAGGAAATCTGGACTCATTTTGTTTTCTCAAGCTCTCCAATAATAGTACTCAAATAACACTAACTTCCAGTTCACGTTCAGATTCTACTTTTGCCTGGTTGTGGTAAGTATTAATTTTTTTTTGAAGGAAGGAGAAAATTATTTTCTATTAAATGTCTTAAGTGTCCTTGAACCGATTTTAGTAACAGAGACAAGAAAGCAAAGAAAAGCAGAAGGCTGAGAAAGTGAAAGCTGACCTGAAGCCATCCTCCTAGGTAGAGGCATGTTGTTGTCCCAGTATGGTATATGTATTTCCCAGTGGTCCTGTTGCCTGGGAGTCCATCCTCTAAACTGAAAGGATTCAGTGTCACTGAGTAAAGTCAGAATTTAACCCTTTGGAGGGCAGTGAGCAGTGCAGTGACAGAAGAATTAAACCTGACTATGGTGTGCATTACACAAAAACAAGGCAGGAATGGTTTTGTTTTCAGGTTGCTTCTTACTGATTCGTTAATTCTTGCCTTTTCACTTCCTGGAACTGGATCTGTAGCCTGATAGGTATTTGAGATCTGCTTCCGAAACCTCTTTCTTTACGGTGGATGCCGTCACTGGTTTGGAAGGAAGCTTATTCTTCTCCTGTTCCTTTGCAGGCTTCAATAGCATAATCCTTGTGATGGACTTCAAGAATACAGCAGCCTTCAGTTAGCAGCTATGAATAATCTTTCATGGGGGGGAGATTGTGTAGACCATATGCAGCCTATTGATTGTCATTCCAGAATTTTAAGGAAGATGGACACTTCTGTTCTCATAAGCTTAATGCAAACTGCTTTAGTGGCAATTGTATGTGGGTGACTCAGAGCACCCTGCATTCTAATGATGCTTTTTGAAGTTTAGTTTTGTGCCTCTGAGCCGGTTAGGTTTTCAGGCAGGTACCTGAGACTTCAACCCTGCAACAGTTCCTTCATGGCAGTTTTAGATCACTTTGAGTTCAGTGCTCTTGTTTTATCACATTGTTGGAAATTTTAGAGAAATACCAGACTTTGTGTATGGTTTATTTTTTTCTTTTTGCTGGTCATACATGGTGACTGGGTAACGAGGTGATGCTACTACTCAAGAGAGAATAAGTACAATATGAAAAGTGGCAGTGCAAGCCTTGCCATACTGTTTCATGACTGACTGCAGCCTGTTCTGAGGAAACTGCATCTTGAGCTGGAAAGAGCAATTAGGTTCTCTTCTGCCTCTTCAGTCCCTAGTATATCAACTGAGTCTTTTTGCAGACATGACGGGAGGGCTGGTTATGGAAACTAACTTGTAATGTGAACCTTTATATTTAAGGAACTGAGCAAAACCAGTCATTTCATGTAACGAGTGGTTTTCCGTTATAAAAAGATGGCAACTTATCTGAGCCAGCCTTGAAGTAGTGTGCAGCTGAAAGTGATCAGATCCAAAGCCTCTCTAACACTGTCCCACTCAGCCATTTGACTGTTAAAGGGTAGAACATCTACTTAGTCTGCCTTTGGACTATTTCCCAAGGCTTCCTATCACCTCGGCTAGTAATCACGCATTTTTTGCCTTAAGGAAATACCCTAAAATGCACTCCGAAACACCTTCCATCTGTAACGAGAGATTACTGATTCAGGGTTTGTCTCTGGGATCTGTATTCATTGAGGCATTGTTGTGTGGCTAGAACAGAAATCTGAGGGGTCAGGGTTCCTGTGCGCTCTTCCTTTCCCTCTGGCAGGTCCTGTTTAATTATGGGCAAGCTATTTTCCCAGTTTATGCTCCAACTTTATAACTCCATGAAACTTCTGCTGGATCTTACCAGGCTTTTATGATGGTTACTGTAAGATTTACCCTTTGCTTAGACTCTTCTACAGAAACTACCAAAGAGATAAATGCTGTTGCTGCTGTTTGTCCTAGTTTTCTGCTTCCTTTGAATTGTGAAATGAAAATGAACTAAGCAAACCTGGATTCCATCACAGAATATAGATTTCCCTA